AATTTTGTCCCTAAAGAGTAGCGCTTCTAGTCTAGTTTCAAAAGCATCAAGTTGTTTATCATTTGGACATTCCTACTAAAGGTTATGAACAAATTACTAAAGTCAGACCACCCAGTTATTTTGGCAGACAGCGAAGCAAGGCTCGCTTCGCCAGACCGGGTGTGGATCATGTATTCCCTTGCATGCAGTGGACAGTGAAGTGAGGCTCACTTCGCCAGACTACGCACGCCCCAGCTTAAGGTTCTTTTAAGTTATTTCGGGGGCTCATTTTTCCCATTTCACTTGGACGAATTTTGGAGCTTTCCTTCATTCTCTCAAGTCCCCCAACTCCTCCCATATTCAAGGTAAGAAATACCTATTGTCTTGGTGTGAATCCTATCATTTTTATACTAGAAGTAACTCAATCCACCATGAAATCCTTAGATTTTAAAGAAATTTCTTCAAGAACTCAAGGGAGGGTTTTGCTAGATTTTTTCCAAAAGGTAATCCTACACTCTTAGACTTACATGCATGGGTTTATTATTGGAATATGAGTAAGAATTGTGTATTGGAACTTATGGGATAGTGATTGGAAGCCTTAAGTTCCTAATTTAAATACTTAGTCATTGTAGAGATTGAAGAGTGATTATTTGATGGAATTTTGTTGGTTGGGTGTGGATGTTGGTCACGCATGTGATGTTGGAAGTTTTAAATTATTTAAGAATGATGGTGGGATAAATTATTGGTAAATGGGGGTAGTTAGATGAAGTAGTTTCGTGGATAAGAAATGTAGAGATTTATGCCTACTAGGTATTAATAAAATGCCTAAATGGCCTAAGTTATGGAATTTGTTACTAATATTGGTCCCATTGGATGTTGTTATTGTAGATTAAAGTTTCTTAGTGTAGTGGATCATTGTAGTATCATTAAGGGGCGAATTTGAGGTATGTTGGCTAAACTTCTCTCATAGAATCAAATTCCATGATGTCCTCGTATATTTCAAGTGTTGTTGGCCCAAGTTCTTACTTTCTCATGATCCGGGCCATTCATAATATAATCAGTGATTACAAATAAGCATTGTGCCGGAAATTATATGCTCAAAATGTGTTTCAATTTCTCCTGTCACATTATGCTATCCTCCGGGAATGTATTCAAGTATGGTTTATGTATCAAAATATTATGACTTCAATTCATGTATCAAATGCTAGTTTATGATGCTTAATTTTGGAAAGAAAACTCAATATGATTAAGAATCCTATTGCTCATATACATATATAAAGTCTTGATTCCAAATTCTATTATTGTTGATAACCTGTGGTGATGCTTGAAAGTGATAGAAGTGAGTATGAGATATAAAATGTGGCAATCGTCCCAAGAATGAAAACTACACTTGCGGCCAATAGTGGTAATGAAATGAAAAGAATGTGTAAAAGATTATGAAATGAGTTGTAACTCCATTATATAATAAATATTCTGGGAGCATCGTTTAGTCACCGAGGAAGGCTAAGTTGAAATAACCTAACCCTGAAACTACACATGCCGGTGTAGGAGTGATTGAGGGGCAAATCACTGGACTGATGTGTTGAGATCATTCCCCTAATTGGGATGAGATTGATGTGTTGAGATTATCTCCCTTTAATTGGGATGAGATGATTGCTAGCGGAAGGTGATGTCGACCCACGCGGCATCGCGGTCAGACAGCTTAGATGATCGGGCCGAGATTGAACTCCGTGCTAAAAGCATGGTGGTGTTGTGATTGGATGTCTTGGGGTGAGATGGCTTAGCCGATCGGGCCGAGATCGTACTATGCTAAAAGCACGGTGGTGTTGTGATTGGATGTCTTGGGGTGAGACGGCTTAGCCGATCAGGCCAAGATCGGACTCCGAGCTAAAAGCACGGTGGTATTGTGATTAGATGTCTTTGGGTGAAATGGCTTAGCCGATCGGGCCGAGATGGTTTAGCAGGGTGGTGTTGTGATTGGATATCTTTGGGTGAGATGGCTTACCATGGTGGTGTTGTGATTGGATGTCTTTGGGTGAGGCTCTCATTGATTCCATGTTTCTTTCTCCTTGTACTGTTACTCGATTCATCGAGAGGGGGTTTAGTTTTACATACTAGTACTATTCCATATATACTAATGTCACTTTTATTTTTCGTAGGCGCTGCATCTTAATGGATGCATGTGGTTCTATAGCAGGCAGCACCAATCAGTGATAGCGGTATACCCTCTTCTCAACTGACTTGGTGAGCCCCACTTCATATTAGGGTCTTGTATCTTTTGTTCCTTATGTATGGTGTTTTGAGGTATAGCCGGGGCCTTGTTGCCGACACCATTATTTTACTCTTTTGTATCCATTAGAGTCTTTGTAGACATAGTGTGGGTTGTATTTTAATTTGGGTAAGTCAAACTTGAAATGTTGTACTGGTAACACATGTTTCCACTTCTAAAACTATGCATGTGTAATGTATTATTTTGGGAATTGTAAACAATGGTAATGAAATTGGTGTGTTTATGAAATTCTCTTATTGTTCAATGAATGGAATACATCTTCACTTTATTCATTGGTAAGGTCAGGTAGATGGTATCAAATAGGCTTGCTTGACTGGGATATCTCGGTTGAGCGCCGGTCGCGCTCCCCAAGGTCGGGGCATCACAAGTTTGGTATCAGAGCCTAAGGTTTTAAAGTGTCCTCGGATGTCTCGGAGCCGTGTCTAGTAGAATCCTTATTATCAGTGTGAAGTCGACCACATCTATAATTAGGAGGCTACTTGGACATTTAGGATTGTTACCCTTCTTCAACACTCTAGATCATGCGATAGAGGTTGACTATAAGATTGTTTTCTAACTCGTGTGTTGAGTTTCAGGGTAAGTCTAAACGTTCTTCCTTTTATTCCAAGTAATATTGTCATATGACATGACCAATTGGTAAAGGCATGAATATTAAGGAGATGGCACATGTATCATGTTGAATGAATGGTATGGACATATCAGATAAGTATATAGTACCCAGAGCACACTTTATATGAGAAAAGTGTTAGAAGTGATTACCCATCTCCAAAGAGACATTGACATGATAAATGAGGCCTAGGCTTAACTAGTACACGAGGATAGTGTGGGAACCACGAGTACGATCCTAAGATGCAAAATAAAATTTGTTACATAGGCATGTGATATATGAATGGCATGACCTGGAGGATAATGATGAAAGTGTAGGTCTCTCACGGGAGACAAGAAGTTATGAAAGGGATAATGATGAGATCCTTATTCCCATTTGCGACTTGTTTCGCAATGATAAGTCCAAGGAAAAAAAAGCCCCAGGGATGTACGAAGTTGTGTTACACTCCTAAAAGATATTGACATTACGAATTTGGGTCCCAAGACTGTGAGGTTGAATAAGAGTTGAGCACTTATGAGGTTAATACCATGACAACTTAAACATCCCTAATAGTCGATCATATACAAGAGAATTAGAGATATGAAACATATGTCCTTCAAGTTGCTATGTTCAAGACCTGTGTCAAAATCTGGAACATTCACCCCAAGTGGGGAAGGAAGGGTCATAGTGAGGCTACTTAAGTACAATAAAACAAGAGTAGAACTATGTAGCTATGATGTTTGAATATTTTATTAAATACATGTGTAATCTAGAAAAGTGGTAAGGGTTAATGTGATTCTCTAAAAAGATATGATAATGATAGACCACTAGTACACCAAGAATGTGGAAGGTTAAGAAAGATAAGTTCTTCATACATGACAATGTACATGACATGGTCAACGATCCTAGGAACTAAGGGAGAGAAAGAGGGAGAAGTGTAAGGTTTGCAAGAGGGTTTTATACTTGTTAGAGAGTCAAAGTCAATGGAACCAAAGGAAGTACTATAGATCAAATGTGAAAGGCTTGTGAGTTTTCAGAATGAGTTAATCATGGATTTGCGATTTAGCTAAAGTTCCAAGACTCTAAGAAAGATGAAACGAGTGGAAGAGATAAATGTGATGCTATAATAACCCAAGAGTACATTTAGACTCGATGGAGATCCTCTTAAGAATCCTACAAGCAAGGAAGTGTTAAGTGAAACATGGAAGAACACACTTTCCCATGGATATCCCAACAAATATCGAGAGGCTAGTATGGTGAATTCACAACTAAGGGAAAGGACCACATAACATATGGAAGAGTGCATAACTATACATTAATTAGGAAGAATGAGACAACAAGAATTGAAAGAAAATCTATAAATTGAGGTGGTCATAGTTATCGCAAAACAGTTCGTACCAAGATCGAGGACTCGCATAGAGCACAAGTATTAATAGAAGGCATAAAGAACCAACTGTAATGCAGTCGACTTGTATGACACGAAATATTAATTAAAAGATGTAGAGGGAGTTTATGTCTACATATTACAATAGATAGTGAGACTACTGGTGGTAAAGTGGTGGTGTGGTAAACTCAATAAACCAGGCACAATGATACTACGAGTTCATGGGAGATAGACAGGTGTGTGACACAATATTAAGGCTATCAACTATCCATTAAGGGAAAAATGGGATGGGAATAAATGTCCCGGTCGCAAAGGAAAGATAGTACCAGCATATTGGCTAGACCAAAAGGGCGATCAAAAAGGAAACAATAACACAATCTACCTAATGGACAAAGGGAAATATTCGAAACGTGTTGAGAGAGGATGAATACTTGTTACAAACAAGGCATGTTTAACATGATAGCTCTCAAGCTGCAATACCAGAAAATATCATTGGTAGTTACAATACTAAAAACACTACAAGAAAAAGCCTTATTAGGGATCAGCATTTAGCGACAAGTTTTAAATATGGTCCCTAAAATTATATAGGGATGAGAATTTTTTTTGTCTTTAACACGCAATTTTATCTTCTAAATACATGACCAGACTTATTCCGGCCTATACAAAAGTTAATATCTAGTCTCTAATACTTGATTTCAGCGGTATAGGGGCGCGAAACTGATGAAAACTAAAGTAAACAAAAAAAGAAAAACTCCAAAAATTTCACGGTAATCCCTCCAAATTCACTTTCACCCTAAAATCCCTCCAAAATACTTCCAGGCTAAAATCCCTAAGAGACGGCTAAACTTCATCAAAATTCAGAAGGTTGCAAAGAAATCAGAAGGTTGGTGTCTAAAATTCATCTCTCCCGGTGACTTTACACAAATTATACTATTGGATTATCCACCTAATCAAGAGTAAGTTTAATTTATTTCTCTTTAATCTGTTCTGTTTCTTTTTTCTTCTTCATGCTTTTTCCCCGATTGAATCAGAAATCGAAAAAAGGGTTCTGCAATTTTTTGTTTCTTTAGTTGTTTTCTGCATTTGGTTATTTTGAATACTGATCTTTATTGTGTGAGTTATAAAAATGAGATTATTGGGTTTAAAATTGGGGCACACAGGTCAAGGGGGAGAAATTTGTACAAAAGAGGGGTTGTTTGGTTGCTCGAAAAAATCATCGGACATCAGAGAATGTCAAACACCTCAAAACTGAAATTTCACCAAAAATAGGTATTGGTTGCTCGTATTAGGACTGTAATATGATTTATAATTTGGTTCAACATATCCCAAAATTCAGTCATGGAATAGATTCTGCTTTTTTCTCTTTCAAGCAAATGGGGCTCAAATGTGAGTAATGATAAGGCAAAGAGAAGCCAACCACACAAAGGTTGCAAACACCGGCCATACCGGCTTGCCACGCCAAGATACAGATTGATTAATCGCTCAATGCCCGAATTGGTTAGCCCATATATAGAAACACCATCCTCACTGCTTCTTTATGTACTTTCCATCAACGCCGAAAAAATAAAATACGCACTCACACACAAGAAATATAAAGATGTCAGTATATAGATTTTTTCTTGTAGAGTTTCGTCTATGTGATAGTTTTATGCTTTGCGATTTACATTATACAATTCTTCTGGGGACTTTCTTGAAGGGTCATGAAAATTTTGTAGGATGTCTTGTGATTTTTCATATGAGGTGATGAATTGGTTGAATTTTTTTCTTACCATTAGGTGCCCTAGTTCAATTTCTTTACTCTGATTGGTATGGGTTCTTTAAATTGTATAATCAACTTATTACCTTTGATAAGTCTAATCTAATATTTTAAAAAATTAGATGAAGAAGAAACAGTGATGTAAATTAGCTTTGTTAAAGTATTTTCCATGTCAAATAAATTTTCTGATGAAAACATTCCATTGAGTTCATTCACTGAATTTATTTAGTCAATAGCACTCTAGTTGGAGTGATGGACTCGCTCGTCGAAGCTCTTCGTTGTCAATGCTTGAATTTATTCTGTCGTGAACTACTTCCTCCAAAATAAGGTCAATGTTTTGAGCATTATAATATAGGCTCTATTTTGATTCTAGTTATAATGTAGGTTTTATTTTGATTGGAAAAGAATATTTTTGATGGAGCGAAAAATATTGTTCTTCACTAAATTAATAAATCTCGGTGCTGGTTTTTGATTATGTTAAAGAAAAATAGCATTTCATGTTCTTGTGCTTACATGTAGGTTTTTTTAGCTATCCTTAGGATATGGTTGAACTTCATACTTCAAATATATATAGCTAGTTCTTGATAAAATGAAGCTAGTTCTTGATTAAAAAAGTGACAAATATTGCTAGTGTCTCGTAACATAACAATCATTGCAGTATTTTTAATAGTAGAATGATAGCTATTGTACCATTTTTTTATTTAAGTAAGATAAGATAGAAAATCAGTGATTTAATTTTAAAGTGTTTTATGTGCTTTAATTTCTCATTTTGTTGAGCAATTGTGTGTTATATGTTATGCATATCAACTTGTAGTTTATCTCCTTCTTGTGAAATCGTAGGAAGTTTAGTCATAAAGATGAGTCTGACAAGTGTAATAAAAAGTAATGTGCATTTTAGTACTTTCTTTTATAAGTAATGTGCATCTTATTGCTTTTGTGATCTTAATTTTTTTAATCTTATTTTTATTTACTATCCAAGGTTATGGCACCAAGTAAGCAATGGATGCAACTTGTTGATAACCGACTTGACGAAACCTAATTAATTGGGGTGCAAAAGTTGTTGGATTATGCCTTTAGAAGAACAGGAGAATTGTATGAAATACGATGTCCGTGTGTCAATGTTGTAACACAACATTAGGAACACGTGAGACAATCGAGACACATTTGAAAGTATATGGAATATTTCAAAATTATACTTTTTGGTATCATCATGGAGAACCTTTGGATGAGCCACAGTCGGAATGCGAAGTTGAAGATGATAATGAAGTAGATGATTATGAGGATGAGGATGAAATACATGAAATACTAAGGGATTTATATCCTAATCATGATGGAGGCACTGCTGATGTTGGTTACAATGATTTACTTAAAGAAGAACCAAATGTTGAAGCCAAAACATTTTACAGCCTATTGAAAGATTTCGAGAAGCCACTATGAAAGAGTTGATGATGGAACAATGAGGCACCCAGCTGATTCAATGGTATGAAAATCATTTGATGAACTTCATCCCTCATTTTCGGTTGAACCTCGTAATGTTCGACTTGGACTTGCTAGTAATGGATTCCAGCCATTTCGGAATTCAAAAATCTCATATAGTTTTTAGCCTGTGGTACTTATTCCTTATAATTTACCACCTTGGTTGTGTATGAAACAGGAAAATTTCATTATGTCCATGCTTATTCCTGGTCCAGATAGTCCAGGAGATGCAATTGACATATATCTTCAACCCTTGATAGAGGAGTTGAATGAGTTATGGGAAATTGGTGTTGAGACCTTTAATGCATCAATCAGACATAATTTTAAGTTACATGCTTCTTTGTTATAGACCATCAATGACTTTCTAGCATATGAAAATTTATCTGGATGGAGTACAAAAGATAAATTGGCATGTCCATATTTTTTTTTTGGGAAATTACACTAAGCATTGAGCTTAGTGTTAATTTTATATATATCAAAATGGTTTACAAAAATAAAGTGTAATCAAAGTTAGGTCAACTATAGAACTATGGTGGAAAGACTCCTTCCCTTTACAATCAAATAAAAATAAGTGCTCCCTATGTGCGATGACAAAAATACAGTTATACAACAACATAGTAGAGAGGGTGTAAGGTACATCAAATGTATCTTCATGTTAGCTTTGACAGAATCACTAAAAGCCATAGTGAAGATAGCACTGACAAAATTCCAGAAAGGTGCACAAAGTTGGACAGCTCTGTTAAAAAATATTGACTGCAAAATTGCAGTCAACTCCAAAGATCTAGAATTACTGCTGCCAAATTGTGTCTGTGTGTCATGAGTGAGTCTGGCTAGGTTTAATAGCTCCAATTGGCAAAAAAGATGACTGATAGAAGAGAATGAGCATTGAGGTCGATGGTATGTTGCACTTATGTTGTTTCTTATACAAGAGCTTCTAAGATGTCTATAGCATTGAAGACACCTGTGTAATTTCAGTCTACCATTTGGTTGGTGCAAATGTGGCATTGAATCAATATGAAAATGAAGATAGGGTACCCAAGCATATTGACAGGTATTCAACAGATTGAGCAAAAAGAAAAAAACCATGTTAGTTTAAATCTTGATTGGTGTGGCTCCAGTAGCTGAGTGTCTCCCAGTAATAAGTCATGACTTCTAGTGTTGTGATCCCAGACTGTGAAGATGGTGTCCAGTATTACAAAGAGAAGCAGGGTAACTGGGCACTGTTGAATATACATAGTACATATTCTGCTGATGTAGCTATTGATGGTGCACCAGTTGTTGATGTTGTTGCTGCTGTTGGCTCTGTGGTTGTTGGTAGGCATAAAAAATTAAACAATTAGTTCTGCTCTCATTATTGCTCGATTGTCATCCATAACCATGTGAATTAGAGGTAGAAGCAAGCTGTGGTGGTATGATGATTCTATTGGTTTTTTGCGTCTGAAGGCTGGTGTTTGCAGGAAGTCCTGTTGAATTTGACCTCTAATTTAGCTAGGCAATGAGTTGACTAAGTGGAAATTAGTCAATGTTGTGAGGCTGTGGCTTAGATTTGATAAGGAATCTGCAGGACAATTGGCTTCTCTATAGACATGGGAGAAACTGATCACTGCAAGCTGATCACATAACTGCTTAAGCTTGCATTTGTAAGGACCATGGAGGTTCTGCATAGTTCTTATCATGTTTTTAACAAAAAATGAAATACAAAAGTGAGTTCTATATTTTAAATTCACAAAATTGAAATAAAGATAAGGTATTTATTAAACTTTGGTCAAATTAATTCAAGTCTCATTGTAGAACTATGTTTTCTTCTATCACACGGAGTTTTTGTGATGATATTGGATAACAATCTATATTTGATGTATTGCAGGATAAATTTGAGAGTGATGACATTGATATTCATCGCGATCATATTTTAGGATGGTTGAAAGAGTTATGGAACAAATGGAGAGGACAATTGCATGCAAAATATGTGAAGGGTAAGCCAATCCAAGAGGCTCTTAAGAATGTGCCCAAGGGGGTAGACAAGAAATAATGGGAGTGGTTGGTAAAGGAACATTTTTCTACAGAAAGTTTTCAGGTTTGACATAATACTTAATTATGTAATTTTATTTTATACAATGATCTTTTAATTGATAATTTATTTATAGTATTTGAATTTAATGTTGTTACTCAAATATAGGCGAGAAGTAACAGGAATGCAGCAAATAGAACTAAGTTGAAGATGCTTCATCATATTGGTAGCAAGCCAATTAGAGAGATTATTTATCAAAAGGTGTTATCATCAAATCCATTTTTTCTTAATACTGACGAGACGTTATTTGACATATTTACTTTTATGTAAAGGGCGGAAAAATGGCAAACCACCAGATTTGGCAACTATTTTCTTCGAGACTCGCAAGAAGAATAACACACTTGCCGATCCTGAAACAGTCGAGAAACATGTGTGTTTGGTTAAAATGAACATGTTCTTTACTTTTAGTTACTATGGGATCTGACAAAAAATTCTCTGTATATTTTGTAGACTCAAATCTACGAATTGGTACAGTTTGAACCATCACTTCCTAGCATAGAGATTGTAGAAAAATACTTTGGACCTCAAAGTCGTAGTCATGTATTTGGCTTTGGGGGTGGAGTAAAGGCGAAAGATTTAAAAGGTGGAACTGCCTCAAAAACTGAATTATTGGCTAAGCTACGTTTAACTAAAAATGAAAACCAGTCTTTGAATGATCGTCTGTCTAACTTTGAAAATGAGATGAGAGAACTGAGGCAATTAAAAGAATTAGTATTAGCGCAACAAACTAATTTCCAGCCTCCAGTTCAGGAGAATAACTATTCGGATCCTTGATGATACCAAGTGAGTAACAACTTACCTGAAACCTCAATTTATTTTGTTGATTTAAGTGTATGTTATTATATATCATTTGCGGAATTTATTCTTCTGTTGATTACGAATTTGCTGGTTGTGCATAGTTGTTAGTTGTATTACTGGTTTCTTAATGTACGCTAGTGGTTGAAGTTCGATAACCCATACTAGAGTATGCTAGTTGTTGAAAGTGACAATAAAGTATTGATACAAATATGTTGTTGAGGACATTAGGTTTCCAGGATGTGAATTTAGCTTCTTTCTTTAAACAAGGTTCCTCAAATAATTTGGATAAATCAAACTTAGCATAAAGGGAAATGATATAAAATCCATTCACGTTTGGAATCCTAGCCACTTCTTGCTTTCCCTCTGTGTTTGCTGAAGCTAGATTCGTGGTTACTTCGTCTACTACAGTAGATTTAGAGGAAATTGGAATTCCTCTCCTGAACCAGGTACTCCCTCTAATGTTTTCTTTAGAATTCTCCGAGTGTCACCTCCGTAATACGATTTCCAAAAGCAACATGCCATTGCTATAAACATCAGCTTTGGCTGTAATGGCCACCTCGGATATCCATTCTGGTACAAGATAACCTCTTGTTCCTCTCATAGTAGTAAGCACTCTGCTAAAGTCGCGTCCAACATGCTTTTCCAGGCTAAAGTGTGCTACTTTGGGGCATAATTGTGACAGGTCAAATGAGTTCTACTATTGTACCATTCAAATCTTGTCCACCAAGCAACAGAATGTCTGTTTGTTGACTAAAAAGGATATTCGAATTTGACTTTCCTATAGGACATCAAAAACACTTTGAGCTTACAAAACAAAAGTAAAAATTACAAATAAAAAGAGTGTATAGAAATTATAAGATTATTCTTACTTGATGTCGTAGAAAAACTACACACTGAGTGTATAGAAGTTAATTCACGTTAAGATGATTCAAAAATTCTGTCCTTAGCAAAAACTCATTGGTGAGTTTGTATTTCAACTTTGGAAATCAGTTGTAGATGAGCAATAAGAGCAAAATAGAAACAAATAGTTCTATTTCTAAGCCCAGATTATTAGCTAAGTATTAGCTATTTTTGATATTGCTAACACTAAGCATTCTAATCACTTCCTTATATGCCTTAGTTGATGTCAATAAACCTACAAATTTAAGAGGTGAGTTGTTGCTTTTTTTTTTTACATCTTTTAGTCATTCTCTAAGCTGGAGCTACAATGGGTCTATTTCTAGAGAGGTCTCTATCACCTAAATTATGCACTTTCATACCTACTAAATTTACTGTTCTTTTTGTCAATTCCCATACCTACTAGATCTACTGTTCTTTTCCTCTACCATAATTTAGAAATTAAAATAATACCACATGAAAAAGGGCGAGTTAAAGAGACGGACTGACATATTTCTAGGCTGACATGCTTCTGAATAATGAGTGCACATGACATCTTACGCAAAATATCACATAGTATGTATGCTTTTGGCCTCGATGATGGCATAGTTCAAGGGGCAAATCTATGAGATCTATTAGGCTAAAACTGACAATACATATCATGAACTTGGTTGTGACAAATTTATGACAAACCAATCTAAATTAATAAGATGAAAGGGAACAATGGTGTCTAGCCATTAATTTTTTGTTGCTTCTTTTTTCTTTGGTATTTTTATAATCTTCTGTCTAGCCCTGATTTTATTCCGTCTACACTGTTATAGTTTTTCAAACTAAAATTTCTTATTTCTTCTACAGGTTTTGAATATTGAAGTTTACTAGAAGCAGATTTTTGACGGCATACAAATTAACAATCTTTTTGTTGGGAATTTCAAGAAAATTTTACATTATAATCGAGGGATATTAGTGATATGTAGTTTTTTGCTAAATATTTATAAACACAATATTGTGACTAGCTTATATCATTGATGTACGGTGCAACTAAATGATGTTGATCATTTTTGGTAATATTTTATGAAAGCAACATCATTTATATATTAATATACCCGATTTTCTAATTGCAAATTGAATGTGATTTAGGAACTTGTAACTTGTTTCTTTAGGGACTAGACTGTTAGTCCTTAAATCTTTTTTAGGATTAGAAAATTTGGTTGCTAAATCTGTAGCATTGTAGTGTTGACCTGTTTGACTTAGGGACCAGCTTTAAACTTCTTGAAAAAGATATAACGGTTAGCTTCTAACTGGCCGCGAAACTTTTTAACGACTACATTTAAACTAGTCGCAAAAATATTTTAAGGACCAGGAATTTAGTCCCTAAAATATGCAAATAGGCACTAGAAACATGGTCCTTAAAATCATTTAAGGGCTAGCTTTAAACTGGTTGCGAAATAGTTTTAGCGACCAGCATCCGATCTCGTCCTTAATGAACTTTAGCGGCGGAAGCTATAAGGACCAGATTAGCTAGTCGCTATTGACCATTTGGGACCTTTTCCTTACTTTTAAGGACCAGTTTTCCCTTCGCTATTGACCATTTTTCTTGTAGTAGAATAAGGTGAGTTACTTATTGAGGACGGAATCAGGTGAACTAAGTGTTACACTTAGAAGGAAAACAAGAAGTCGTTGTTGAAGAATTCAGGAGGATCTCAAGTTTCAGAAAAGGCCCTATTCGGGCCAGTGACTCTTTTGAATTGAATATATATAATGGGTGTTGATATGTGCTTTCGAGGTATTTAACAGTAAAGAGGGATCGTGAGAATGTTCACAAAGGAAGTAGAGTGATTTCTTAAATCCTATAAGGCACATAATAAGGAAAGAGAGTGGCTAAGAAAAGTCTGAGCACAATGTTATTTCATATTTAACGCGATGTCGTGCAGGTTAGTGTTACGAGAGTGTGTGCACAAGCTAGCGGATGTTATTCATTTGAAACAGAACGCCCTATAAGAAACTCATTAGGTGATGTCTTTTGTTGAGAATTTAGAGAAGCAAGTTGCAAGTATTAACATAAGATTGTAACTCTATCAAGGAACTTATTGTAGAACTCAATTCCTAGGAGGTTATATGTAAGAGAAATGTCATAAAGATATTCCACTAATGATGCAGCTAGTTCAAAAGTATGTACATGCAATATTTTTTGACTCAATGTTATGTTAAGATCAAGTTTATTTTATCTCTTCAATATAGATGTCCGTATATGATAGGGGAAGTAATATAGTGTTCATAATGATGTAATATTATAAATCGTGATTGAGGCAAGGAGTGGCTAAGGTAACGTATTTTGAAGGGTATAGGGCCAATGAATGCAGTGGTCGAGAATTTTATCGTATATTGGGTTATTTTCGCACTGTGTGGTGCCTCGTTTGGCAGGAGATGTAGATCTCCCATCGGATGGTCTGAAGTTGGTATATAGAGTCAATAGGGCTAGACATTGTTCACGAAGTTATGGCAAATTCAAGATCGTCAAGGAATGGTTGAAGAAGGTTGAAGGTCATCAAAAGTTCTATTCAGATGTTCGACATTGAGATTTGGAGTTTGTCACGACCCAAAATCTAACTCGTCGTGATGGCGCCTATCGTGGTACTAGGCAAGCCGACCTTTCCAAAATACTTTTAAAATTTAACAGAAATAAATTAAGACATTTAAAAATAACCGGAGTTCCTTATAAATACAGGGTAAAACCTAAATAAAACATAAGTACGAAAAAATAGCCCGACATCGGGGTATCACTAAGTCATTAGCAACTAGACTCTCAATCTAAAAGACAGTGTCTACAATAGTCTGCGTCTAAATATCAATTCAAGGAAAGAAAGATAATAAGGAGGGAGCACAAGGTCTGCGAATGCCGGTAGCTACCTCGTAAATCTCCGGAAGATCAACTGCGCACGAACTCAATGACCTCCACGTCCGGTCACACCTGAATCTGCACACAAGGTGCAGGGGGTAACGTGAGTACTTCCAACTCAGTAAGTAACAGAGTTAAATAAGGAACTGAGAAGTAGAGACGAGCTACACAAATGCAGTTCATTTCAGTAATTTCAGCAAGAAAAATAGGCATGCTTTCAATCTGGTGTTTTAAATCAAACATTTCGAGCTCAGGTACAACAATATAAGCCCTCCAGAAATTTCACAACAACAATAATTAGCAACGAAGTGCAACAACAAATAAGAGCAAGTACAGCCTCACAGAGGCTACTGTCACTCATCTATCTCAACAGCTCAGTCACTCGGCTCTCAGCCTCAATACCCACAATCAAAGGTACCTGCTCTCACTAGGGGTGTACAGACTCCGGAGGGGCTCCTACAGCCCAAGCGCTATATTGCTGCGGCGTGCAGCCCAACCCAATACTGTTGCGGCGTGCAGCCCGATCCATATATTATTGCGGCGTGCAGCCCGATCTGATATATGGCCCGAAGGCTTGTTGCGGCATACAACCCGATCAAATATTGTTGCGGCGTGTAGCCCGATCCAATAT